GTGACAACTATGTCGAGGGCAAACCCCGACAGCACAGTAGCTACAATAGGTCCAAATGTAACAATGAGGATGGTGTAGGACGAGACATTATTTCCATTCTATTGTACAGAGGGTTACTATCAGTTGGAACCAACTAGATGGTATCTAACAACATCAACAGCATCAGGAGAAGGCTGGTTGCTTAGTGATTAAAGCACTCAGCTGCTAGCCAGAAGGTTGGCAGTTCCAACCCACCAGTCACTCCACAGGAAAAAGATTTATCAGTCTGGTTCCATAAAGATTTATGGCTTGGGAACTCTATGGGTAATTTCTACTCTGCCCTGTAGAATTACTAAGAGTTGGAAATGGCTCAAAGGTAGTGGGTTTTATTTTTTTGTCTTTATTTTACTAATACAATAATTACTTCAGCAGTCCATCTCAGTTTTAAACAGCTCCCAATAATCCATGTACAATTTATAAAATAAAATATTACAATAGGTTTAGATCTACAGAGAAATAGTTTGTTGTGACATAATTCTGAAGAAGATGTAAAAGATTGAAATCTAACAGATAGATCAACATACATTTAAGCTTAATTATACCTCTGTGATATTCTTTGAGAAAAAAGCTTCCAGTCTCTTTCTTTTCCCTCTCTCATACACAGTCACACACATATACACATACATAGTATCTTTTTAGGTATGCAATACATTAATAAACTTTGGTTACCTAATCTAGAAGAATCACATTAATATAAAGCACATGACACACACATTCCCTGGGGCATGGAAAGAGAATCTATTGCACATGTCATCTGTTTCTCTGAATATTGAAAATTACAATTATGTTTTGATGTTAATCCAACTACTGCACATTTCTTGTTGTGAAGCACACTGTGAGAATGTGAGTGACAGTATAAATCTTCTTAAATTGAATTCAACACTACTGAAAACAGCTGATGTTTCCAAATACTCTACAAAGCCTCTGAACAACAAGAATAACTCTCTAATTGAAGCAGCTTTCTGTAGTGACCTATTTGGCAGCAAAGACGAATAGCCTAGATAAAATCTAATTCTGCATGTCTGCCATGTTTTGTGTGTGTGAAAGTGTATATTGTAATTTTCAAAAATCATTACCTCTAGGGCTTTGATGTCCTCATAAACGAACTGCAGAGCTGGTATTCCAAGATGGTTGATGAAATAATCAGCATCACCTTGTGTCTGGACAGAACTGACATTGGTTTCTGGGCATGGAGCTCTTCTGGTACAGTTGAAATTCTTTTTCTAAAAAACAGAATTGAAATTGTTAACATATGCTACATTACTCACCACCATGGCCATCAAGACAATTCTGATTCACAGCAACCCTACAGGACAGAGTAAACTGCTCTTTGTTGTTGTTTTTTAGTGCCTTTGAGTCAGTTCCAACTAACTCATAGAGACCCTGTGTAAGTTTCCATGGAGCAGCTGATGAGTTTCAACTGCCCACCTTTGGTTCAAATCAACCTTGCAGTCCAGTGCTTTATCCCACAGAGCCACACAAGGACTCTTGTTATTGTTGTTAGTAAGTGCCATCAAGTCACTTCTGACCCACAGCGACCCTGTATAAGCTTCCAAGGAGCGGCTGGTGAGCTTCAACTGCAAACCTTGGAGTTCAAATGGCTTTGCAGTCTAGCGCTTCAACCCAAAGTGCCACACCAGGATTCTTAGGGTTTCTCAAACTTTAAATCTTTAGGGAAGCAAATTACCCATCTTTCTCCCACAGAGGGTTTAGTGGGATTCAACTTCCAACCTGCAACCTTATGCTTAACCCACTTTACCACCAGGTCTCCTTTACAACCCAAAACAAACCCATTCCCTTTTAGTCAATTTTGACATAACAATTCTGTACAGAGTTTTTGAGGTGCTAAACCTTTACAAGAGCAGAAAGACTCATATTTGTCTCACAGAACAGAAGGTGGGCTTGAACTACTGACCTTGTGGTTAGTGGTCAGTACCTATCATACAACACCAATAGGGTTCCTTTACATTACTCAGGTTATCCCTAAATCTGTGCTACTCAAAAACTAGTTCACAGATCATCAGCATCAGTTTCATTTGTTCAAAATGAAAATTCATTTCCATCTCACTTTCTGAATGGGAACATTTAGGAATGAGGCCTGAAAATCTGTATTTTCATAACTCCCCTATGATTCACAATAGCTTCTTTTATTTGCATACTTTCTGGTGATCTGACTAGCACTGGCATAAATAAAGTATGTTTATTATTTCTTTAAACATTTACCCCACATTTTTATTATACATTTAGAACTTGAATAACTCTTTCATTTGGAAATGTTCAACAGAATATTGACTATCTTAAAAGTTTTAGGTCTCTGGCTTGATTTGGATGTTTTCCCCAAAATTTAAAGGGTGACTTGGTAGGATGTAATCTAATTCTTATTAAAATGTTTTATATTTTTGTTGTTGTTAACTATCCTTGAGTTGTCTCTGACTCATAGCCACCCTGTATAAGGTTTCTGAGGATCGGCTGGTTTGTTTGAACAACCAACTTTGTGGTTCAA